TCCCCTCCTCCTCCTCCTCCTCCTCCTCCTCCTCCTCCTCCTCGAGGGGGCGGGCCTCCCCAAAGGCCCACAAAGCCGTCCCGAAGAACTGTCCGAGCCTCCTCCGAAACCACAATGGGGGCACCTCAGGAGGCCGGAGGGCCTCTGCGGAGCCCCGCCGCACCTGCCCCCTCGGCGCGCCGCCGACATGAAGGAGGCGATCCGGTCGCAATCGGTCGGGGGGCGCCCACGTTTCGGGGGGACGTAAGGCCCGGGCACAGGGGACTCGGAAATCCCCGACGAGGTCGTCAAAAAAATGGCGAGGCCGAGCCTGCATCCTCCTCCTCCTCCTCCTCCTCCTCCTCGTAGTCCTTCTCCTCCTCCTCATATTCCTCCTCCTCCTCCTCCTCATAGTCCTCCTCCTCCTCCTCCTCCTCCTCCTCCTCGTCCCCTTTCCCCCTCGGGGCGAGAGGGGGCTGCCTGCCGCGGAAGAGTCAGGGGGACGTAAGACCCGGGTACAGGGGACTCGGAAATCCCCGACGAGGTCGTCCAAAAAATGGCGAGGCCGAGCCTGCATCTTGATGAGGCCTCCCGCTGCAGACATCCCAACGAAACTCCCACTCGTCAAAAATCCGAATCGCGGTCGTCAAAAAACGATGGCGAACCCGAGTCCTGGCAAACCCGGGTCTTGCGCTCCCCCGATTCTGGTGGGACCAAGAGGCACCACTACCGCTACTTCCCCGACCTCTCCCCGAATGCGGCATGGCCACAGAATTTCGGGGCGAATCCAGCCGTGGCGACGAGGGCCTCCCAGGAGATCCAGCACATGCAAAAACGATCACGGGTAGTGGTATCGGTACCTTCTCTTCCCCTGAGCTTCGTTTCGGGGGGAAGAGTGCGGCGCAGGGCCGACCCATCCCTTGCCATCGCTCGGACGTCCATTCCCCGTGCATCTGTCGGTTTCATGCGTGTTTTTTTTACCATCCAGGATGTTCCTCAATTCGGGATGGACAGAACCCCCTTTAGCAAAACGTGGTCTAGTGAAAAACGACCTCGGGCCCAAACCTGGCGGGCGCAAGCCTGGAAAATGACGGCCGCGGCTCCCTCTCAAGAACCGAAAACGGACAATTCACCAATCGACGTGTCTGGGTGGGGGTTCTGTCCGCCCCGGATCAATGGTCCTCGCCGAGAATTTGGAGTCCCGAAGCGGTGTGGTGACAGACCGTGCGGTGACCTCGGAATCCCAAGAGACCTCACCGCACGGTCCGTCACCGCACGGTCTTGGGACCCTGGAGGCCCCTGTCGCCCGAGACGTCCTCGGAGAGGGACCCGAGTCCCAAGACCGCGCGGTGACCCCGAATCCCCACCGACTCACCGTACGGTGTGGTAACCACCCCGTTTTGGGGCCCCCGAAGATCGGGCCTGAGAGATCCCTGGGACCGGCACGGACACGGTGGTGCCCCTTTGGCCCAGACTGAGGGGATCTCCCGAAGGTAAAATCCGTAGTGCCTCTGATGTGCTTCGGGCGAAGCCAGAACTTCGTCCTCCAGGTGCACCCAGCCGGGCTCCCCATGCCCGGATCAGGCCGCCCCTGAGCGCGAGCACTGCTCGAGGAACGGGCGACGGAACAAACGACAATGACGACGACGCACGAAGCATACTCCAGATTTCGTAATAAAAGGGAGGGGGTCTGGACCCTCCAAGACAAGCCATCTCAGACCCCCCCCCCCGTGGGAGAACCCTCCAAAACATCGTCCCCAGACCCCCCCAGGCCCTCCGAGATAGCCTGGAAGAGACCCCCCTCCGAAATGAGACCCCCCTCCCTTTATTACGAAATCTGGAGTACGCAAAAAGACCAACAAAAAGAGAGAGGGCCCCCGCCGCCGAGCCGCGGCCCTCCAGAAGCCAGGCCACCCGGCACCCACGGGGCGCTCCTCCTCCTCCTCCTCCTCCTCCTCCTCCTCCTCCTCACTCCTCCTCCTCCTCACTCCTCCTCCTCACTCCTCCTCCACAATTACACAATATGAATACTACTCTCCTCCATCCCCTGATGGCGTGCGGAAGATAGCGGGCACCCCTCCGCGTACTGTTTCTTACACACAGGATTTCCCGGAGTTGGGTTTTCGTTTTCTGTTTTTTGTGCAGAATCGTGCTCCCGCTGCAGCGCTGGCCTCATTTCCGTGCTTCCGCTCGTTCCGAATCGTGCTCCCGCTGCAGCGCTGGCCTCATTTCCGCGCTTCCGCTCGTTCCGAATCGTGCCCCCGCTGCAGCGCTGGCGTCATTTCCCGTGCCATGCCACGGCATGCAATGCAATGCTAGGTTGTGTTCCGCTGCGCGATGCCATGCCTTCAGCTGTAGCTGTCATTTCCAGTGCGTAAGTGTCACGTCATGCTATGCCATGCTACGCTTTGATATTCAACGCCATGCTATGCAATTTTATGTTCGGGGCCGCTGTGCGATGCCATGCTTTGCGTTGCAGAGCTTTGTGATGCAATTCTTCACTACGCCACGCCACGCCATGCTGTGACATACTACGCTTTGCGGTGCTCTTCTACGCCATGCCATGCCGTGCTCTACAATGCATCGCGTACCCTTTCGGGATCATTGCCCTGCTCGACATCCGACTGTGCGAGTAGAGAGGGGATCTGCGCCATGGTGAGGGATGGGAGGGAGGGGTAGGGTGTCAGATATGACGCGAGCGCACCTAGCTTGTCCTCCTCCCCCTCCCCCTCCTCCTCCCCCTCCTCCTCCTCCTCCTCCCCCTCGACGAGCGATGCCAAAGATCCAGGGCCATGGGCTCCAGGGCTCGGCGCGTCCGGAGGAGGAGCCCCGGGGCCTGCCCCTGCCCGGGGAGGGCGCGGGAGGAGAGAGAGAGCGCTCTCGCGCGCCTCTCCAGCGGGAGCTGGCGGGGGGGCTCCAGGCCTAAGAGGAGGAGGGGGAGGAGGAGGGGGAGGAGGAGGAGGAGGAGGAGGAGGAGGAGGGAACCGAACTCTATACGCCGAGGCTTTTTCTGGCCCTGCACTGAAACTCGCACAGGAAAGCGGATCCCAATGTACACGGGATGCTGGTGTATACATGTTCGTCATTTCCCCCCAGAAAACGGGTGAACAACTATAGACCACACCACCCCGACGTCGTCCCTGACCCTTCAAAAGTCCAGGGATTGAAAAACAGCACGCCGCTGGTGATGTATACGTTCCAATTTCCGAATGAGAGCACGAGGACCAGGAGGAGGACCGGACTGGACTACAGTGGGGCCGCTGACACAAGGAAGCCCCTGTTGGGCGCGGGCACAGGGACACAGGGAGGGCTAGAGGAGCAGCCATGGACGGACCCGAGGAACCTCCTTCCGATCCCAAGCTGTTCCTTATTTCAGCGACTTGACTGTATGATTCGGGCTCCAATGTCTCATAGAAAGGCAGAGCTACACGTGTGACGCCGTATCTACACCTGGCAGCTGTCTCGGGGCCTGCCAGGCGCACTAAAATCGCCTTTCACAACAGGCACCCGCTGGGAATAGGTGTGGGGAGGAAGCAGCGGCGGATGAGTCGGAGGAGAAGCAATCATGAGGAAGACGGAGGTGACGACCCTGACAAGCACGAGGATGGTGTGGACGACGACGGGAGAGGCGTGGACAGAGGTTGAGGCAACTTGAAGGGTGGAAGGAGGACGATGGTAGAGTAACAGGGAAGACGAATGATGGGCTTGAAAGGGGGTTGTGAGGGAGCTCGTACACACATATCAACACAGGTATGTATGTGTACATATATATGGATGTATACACATACATGTCTCAGTATCTCTGTCTCTCGCACATTATCTTCCCCCCTTGCCTCTTTTCCTCCCTCTCTCTCTCCATCTCTGTTGTGTGCATCTTTCTCTCTTTCTCTCCCATCTTGCAGTTACACAAAGCAAAACATCCGAGGACGCGCCGTTGCTTTCCCAAGGGGGGGGGGGTCCGTGACCCCTCCCTCCCCCCCCACCCTTTCCCTGGTCCATCGTCCCGGGCCCCCCCCCCCCTTTCTGATCGTCGTCCCTGGCGCTCCGAAGAGACCCCAATAAGCATCTCTGAGGACTCTGACCCACGTCAGCGTTGTCGTCGCGGCCGCCGCCGCCGCCGCCGTGGTCGTCGTCCCCCTTCAGGGTCGGCGGCACTGGCCAGAAGGCCTTCGCAATACGCCCCAACAAGGCGTATTTCACCACCACAGCTGGACTTCTTCGCAACACCATATCAAAACGAATTCCAAGATTCCTGGGAGGGTGTCGCTTCCCCGAGTCCAAAGAAGGACGGACCATCTTGGCACCTTTTGGGGCCTGAAAGGAATGTATACGATCTGATGCCTTTTCATAGGGCTCTAAATGAAACCTGAAATGGCTGCAGTTCAACTTCCCTCTACTCTGCCTCTCTACATGCTGCACTGGGGGTATAAATTCCCACACTCCTCCTACACCTAGGGCGAGCGGTTCCTCGCGCACGGTGTCTCTACGAAGCTTTCGGTAGTGGAGCGGGGATTCACGGAATTTTGCGGTTGAACCAACTTGGGCCCATTGCCGCTGATGTCAAAGAACATCGTTTTGCTCTTTTCTCTAGCTGGTGCTGCCGAGCCTGGCTCAAGCCATTCCTGTTCTTCCAACAGATTCAAATCAAGATGTTGATTCGAAATTTGCGGTGCTAGCTCGTGTCTTCCGCCTCGTGCGGCGTAGCCGAGCTTCTTGCAGAATTTGTCTAACTTTGGTCTGTCCAAGTACTTCGTCATGAGATCTCCGGGGTTCTCGTGAGTGCCGATTTTTCGGATGACGAAATCATTGTTTGCGAGTCTCTCTTGAACCCACAAGTACTGGGTGTGAAGGTGTTTCGCTTTACCCAATCCTAGTCTGGATGCTATTCCTTTGCCTGCTGAGCTGTCTGTGCTCAGACGCCCTTTCACAACAAGACCAAAATCATATGCTAAAGACAAAGCTCCTAACAACACGCTTGCGCCCTTTACTATTCCGTAAAACTCTGCTTCTCCGGAGCTCAGTGCGATGACGCTTTGAGTGCTGCTCCAAGTTTTGTTTGCGTGTAGACCAAACATCAATGCGCCTCCGTTGGTGCTTTTTCTGGTTCTCAAACAACCTGCGTGGTCTGTGTCAACAAGCACATCAAAGAAAGAACAAGACTCTTGAAACGGATATTCTAGCACTAACCGTGGACGCCCTTTTAGATAGCGTGCGAGTCTTTTCATCTTGTTCCAATGTCCTACTGTTGGTTGTTGCATCCCTCGTGCCAACTCCTTTGCTGCGTATTGAATGTCACTACGGTCTTGTGCAATGTAGTTGATGCGCATGCACAGAGATCGGAACTTCGTAACCATGTCTGGAGAAAGTAACTTTAGATCGGTTTCTGAATCAAGTGACTCTTTCACACCAGGAGTGGAGCACGCCTTCGAGCGCTCATCCTGGATGCCACTGTCTCTAAGGATTAATTCAACATGTCTTTGGTCACACTCGTACTCCAGACCGGCCGCGGTCCAAGACACGATCCGGTTAAGAATCCGGACACTTTTGTCGTCACCGTCTTCGGGTCCTAGCGTTGCTCGCACTTTAAGGGCAAGTGCTGACTCCAACGCGCCAGTGAGCCATTCAAGGCCATGATCGTCAGACGACGCTGTGAAATCATCGCCGTGCACTACTAATCTCACGTCCCGGGTGGGCTCGTAGAAAATGCACGGGCTCGACCTACCTTGAACGAATCCCGCCTGCGTTAAAACTTTCGTGTAAAATCGTTCCCAGCCTTGCGCTGCATCTCTGGTGCCGTACATGCACCGGGCCAATTTGCCTACCATGCCGGGTTCGGCATCTTGTTCTGGAAGCTCGATGTAAACATCTCGTATAGCATCAGCGTGGAAATGCGCACGGACAGCATCGATGAACCTTATCTTCAACGGTTTTCCTGATTTGTGGACCTTCTGGGTTGCAACGTGGCTGAAAAGAAACTTCTTTGCCTCAAGTGGCGGTGTTGCCGCGAACAAATCGGTACGTTTGTCTCGTTTTACCTCTCTTGCAACTAATCGTGCTCGGATCTCTGGGTTCTGATCGTCACCTTTGTTTACGATCACCCACCGGACCGAAATGGGAGGTTTTCCTGTCACCTCAAATGCCTCCGACCTGGGAATTTTGACGTAGACCTGATGCTTTTTGTATTCGTTGATCTCTTTCAACATTGCTTCTTGCACTAATTGCGGGGGCAATTTAGCACCTGTGCTGTCATCGAATACTTCCTGCTCGGAACTCCACTCATCAAAATCAAAATGTGGTTCTTCACAACAAACGGTCCCTATTGAAAACGGGTAGGCTTTCCCGTCTGCCTTCAACTGCTCACGCAACCCTCTCAAAACGGTTGCGTGGAGCCTCGGAGACAACAGTGCAGAAATGTGCATTTTTCGATCTAGCTGTGAACATTCACGGAAAATTGACGAAAACTCACTTGACCTAGTCAACTCCGCTTTCAACTCAGACGCCAGATACGGGCTGTTCGTGACAAAACAAAACTGCCGATTCACATGTGCATGCGTGCGCGTTTGGCTTGGAATTGTGTGTGAAGTCTCACATTGCAACAGCGACTGCATTGCCGGATGCTTTGCCGAAGCTGCGCAATCCGGTTGCACGTCCAAGAAATACCTGCCACCATCTCTCTGCCTTGTGTACAAATCAACACAACCAGAAACGCGATCGCACATGCTCTTAAGGTTCCGGCCACTGCCGGCAGATGATGCGATCAACAGCATCGGCATTTTTTCCTGGACGGTGGCATGAGCTGTTCTCAAATCGTGAGCAACACTGAAATCACACGTTCTGTTATTTACACATTGAGCACTAAAGTCTGACACAAAACCTGCACTTAAACCCAAATTACATGCAAGAGCAGATGCACGCGGAGCCTTAAACACTTCTCTAAAATTGCCAGTAGAAGCTAATCCAAAATTCTTGTAACATTGTGCGACACTACACAACTCATGTTTGGGTGCTTTTGAAAACGCTCTGATTGCCGGGTCCCCCGGCTCAGGCATTGGCGCGTCATTGGGCTCTTGGTTTGCCGGTTGCTGTGCAGAGCCGGACGAAGAGGATCCACCTGTATCCATTGGTTCCTCAAGAACGTCGCTTTTTCGCTTTTCTGTTGGGTTTGGTTTACTTACTTTGGCGCCGACTTGGGGATCTTCCACCAGAGGTCTTTTATCCCTTTGCTCATGTACTTCTATTTGTTCCGTTTTCGGCCTCTTGGCAGGAAGCGGTTCCTGATTGGATAGCCGCTGTGCCGCTTTACGGATTCGCTCTCTCCCCTCAGCTGTTTTCTCCAACTCTTTAACGATTCGTTTGCGACATGTTTCGTCGTGCGCTACTGGCGCAGAGCCTGAAGCCTGCGCCTGGCAACCGGGACAAGTAGGAGTAAAACCGTATTTCTGCAAATCCTTCTGCAAAATGTACACACGACGATGGATGATTGACTGGTCCTCCTGCGGCGGTGCAGGCGGTGGGAGGTTTTCCTCCATCACCGGCTTGATCACTACAGCTCTCGGCATCACATCTTGGTTTACTTCGCCTTCTGGCACTGGCTTCCAGGGGAGGCCCCGGAACGCCTTCAGGTGATCAAGGTTCCACTGCTCAGCAGGAGGTTTTCTCATGATTGACCTCGCTGTGACAACACCGTCGGACGTTCCAATGTACGCTTCGTTGCTTGATTCTTTGATGCCTATGAAAATGCCGTCTGCCCATCGCGGCGCTAATTTTGCAAGCCTGCCGTTTTTCATCCTGGCCGGTTTGTAATGAACGCATTCTCCAAACGGAATCAAATCCCTGCGGAAGGGTTTGCCTTTGAGTGCCTGGTACGCTGTGCGGCCGTCGTGTCCTACTTGGAACCTCGTGATCAAGAACCCTGCGTGGTTTATCAACCATGGGAGAATGGGATGGCGATTGTCGAGTTCCGTTTTGTAATTCTCTTCAAGATGGCCTTTCAGGACACGAATTTGTCCTTCACACTCTTGGATTGCTTTTTCGATCGTTCCGTTCGATTGGTGCTCTCCAACTGGGCTTTCCTCTGGAATCACCACGTCGAGGTTTGCTGCTGCCTTGACCTCGCGGCGAAGAGCCAGAATTGAAGCCTCTTGATCGCATTTCAAAATTACTTTCTTATACCCTAACAAATCGAGATCATGCACAACCTGTTTTATTGGATACGGGTGCATTGCGCCTTTGCACGGAACCGTGTGTGAAAAAGTGGCTTTCGTTCCGTGACACCGTAAACAAATATTTGGCATTGTGCTCTCATCGTCTGGCATTCCCAAAAAGAAGTAATCCATTGAAACAGTGGGGATTTCGTGATCCTTTTCAAAACCACGTGCTCGGTGAAACAAACTCCTACCTTTTCCCCGGACGCAGTGCCGACACCAATTCCTATAGGGTAGATGCGTGGCGTTGTGCTCATCAATCTCTTTTTGGGTCGGTTGCGCCGGAGCCTTGAGAACAGGTGCAGAGAGGTCTTCCGAGACGTCTACACCGGCATCGCCGTCATCAGCTAACGGGAAGTAAAGGTTTTGGGCCAAAACTGCTTGGGGCACACTGGGTGGCCCTTCAGGTGAAACGTTCTCTCCCTGAGGCCTTACGGGCTCAGACCCTGCCTGTGGAAAACTGGCTGGTCCGGCCCATCCGCCTCAGCCGGGGCAAGAGACGGTGCATCCGCCATTTCTTCGAGTGATGGCGGCACGACCCAAGCTTTCATTTTGTAAGTGCCGTTTTCTTCGACCAGTGGGATGATCTCTGATGGATTGTATTTGTTTTGAATGTAACTCTCATCGTCAAACACAACTTTGTATCCTTTCCGTTGGATTGAGGATACTGCCAACAAAGGCTTGTCAACGTCTGCAACATGAAGTTGAACTTTCTTTATCAAGCCGTTTTCTGTGATGATGTTTGGCGATCTCTCTCCTAGGTCGGGTACGACCTCACCGTTGGCAACAGTGTAGCGCACTCCTGACCTGGATTCCTGGTTTGGGGCCATGCGGTACTCAGTGGCGCAATCTTTGGGAATAACTGGCACGGAAGCGCCGGAGTCTACAGTGATCCATTTTTCATGGATGGGGAACAAAGGCTGCCTCCGACCACCTACTTCCGTCCACCATTTGGGGCCCTCGGGGACCAAAAGATTCAAGGTACCAGCTTCGATTCCCGACAACTCGAAACCACCAAGGGGCTGACCACTTGCATCGTAGATGATGGGGCCCTGCCTTGGCAAAGCCTGTTGCGACCCACTCCATGTTTGCGACTGCTGCGACTGCCAACGGTTAAACATGTCGTGCATGAATGTTTGGAACCCTTGACTGTCGCCATTGGGATTCTGTGCAACGTCGAACTCATTGAAACCTTTCCTCTGGAAACATTTTGACTCCGGGTGATTCGTTTTTCCGCAAAACTTACATGGGGGATAAGATCCAAAACCTTTCCCTTTCGAGCTCCAGCTGTTGGATTTGTCACCTTTGCTGCTGGATTTCTTCCCTGAGCCCTTGTCTGGATGCTGCGGAGGTTGCCCTGCAGAGCCTCCCTGTGAGTTCCAACTGTTGCTTCCGCTTCTTCCACCTTTTCCGCCGTACTTCCCACCGGGAGTGCCGGTCTTACCTTTACCGGTTCCCTTACCTTTGGAGTCGCGCCAATAACATTCATGAGCCTTGTGGTTTGTTTTGCCACAGATGGAACAACCTTTGCCTCCAGTTTTGCCGTCTTTGCCGACATAGCCGAGATC